GAACAGCTCTGTAAAGTACTAAAGCATTTCAAGGATGAGATTTCCGTGCAAAAATATAAACCTCCAATCCTGAACAACTTTAGAAATGTCTCAGTCTAAATCTATTTACCAAATACCTTGGTCCTCTAGCTCTCGCGTGCATCTTATCCAAAACCATATATTTTAATTCTTGGTAATATATCGGACCGAAATAAATATAAGCACACAGCTGCTGGCCCGTGATTCCAGATGTCAGCATATCTTTCCCAACATAATTGAATCCTCGAGCTGCCAATTCTTCGCAAACAACATTAACCTGAGAGTGGAAAACTCATGATACACTCAAAATTAAAAGGACTGTTCAACTTTACATAACTATGCTGGTTATACTTATTTTTGAGACTTCCACAATAAGAGTTTTTACAAAGACATAGAAATATTGAAAAAGCTTAAATACATTGAGTAACGAAATGTTTTCAAGAAAAATTTGTACCAACTCCGACAAACATTGAGCATTAGAATGCAAAAACTAAGTGGAACGAAATACATATTGAATAAGATAAATTCAATAGCTATTTTACCTGATCACCACCAAAAGCGGTTCCATAACGGAATTTTCCAGAGAGAATGGCATTCTTTCCAGTCAATAACTCCATCAATTTGTCAACAGTCATCCGGCTTGGATATCCATGAGGATTCATATCATATCTGGGCACATTCCAAGATCGTTGAATGGCATATCTTCCTAATAATTAATATTACAATATCTTAATAATCAATTTTACAATTAAAATAAGGAAATTCTTTTCCCAGCTTTTAAAGAAAGTTTCGCAGAAACAGCTAAAAGAAATCAGCAAATTTTGAACTGAAATTCATCAAATCGACTATCAGAAGTAAAGAAATGACGAAATTTAACTGTAATTCAGGAGGCATAAACGTTTCAAAAGAGTAAATTAAATTAAAACACAGAAAAACTTTGATATACTAATTGGGTCAAACCTGTTGCGCTATCAAGCCACAAACACCTTTCTGCCCCTGTCCGCTACTAAATTTATCCCCCAGTTTTGGACGCCTACAAGAATTATAAATAGAAACAACTCTAATACGCCTATACGATTAATATTAGCAAAAATCACTAGACCTTGTCTGGCGCAAAAGTATTTTGATTAGGTGAGCATCTTCTTCATTATAAGTCAGTAAAACTCGCTCTGCATACGATGGTACAGGATTGCTGAGCAGATGTCAAAATCCACCACCACCAACAACCTACGAAATCGCATCTTATACATAAACGTTTTCCTATGTTCCTTTTGTGATTTGCTGAACAGATGTCAAAATTGTTTGCTCTCTCACTGCGCTTCCAATATATAAACATTTAGCGAAATCGGTTTGGTAATTTCTGATTCTTGGTCTTATTTCCCCACAAGGTAATGATGAGATTTAGCTTTAATTTGCAGCAGGGCAGTAATGAGCTAGAGCTTTGGTTTCTAGCAGGATGCTGACGAGGTCGAGTTATAGTACTCAACGCAGCAGTAATGAGGTTTTAGTTTTGGTGGCTTTTCGTACTTCTTGTCAATATCATTGCAAAACATGACGTCTTGCAGTAAAAATTATGTGCTTCTTAATATGTGACATTAGATTGAGCTTTTTTGCAGACTTCTGTTGTGAGCCGTAATCTCGCCGATTTGGAGATAAACGGCTTTTCTTGGATTTCTTGGATCCGATCACTCCTTTTCTTCAAGATGCTGAGATCTGCCTTTTCATACGAAAATTACTCATTTTCTTTCAATTACAATGTAATAGAGTCAGTTTTTATTTTTCAACAATATAACTAACTCAAATTAATTTTACGAGGTGAATACAAGTGAAAAGGTGCCATACCATTATTCAAAAGATTTTTTTGGTATGAATCATAAATTTTGAAGTGAATAGTTTAATGAATCGTGGCCTTAATTAATGCTTAGGTTTTGAGGTACATGATGATGTGGTTCTAGTGCCCTAACATGAGAAATTAGGATAAAACTATCATAATGCAGTCATCAACCAGTACTTATAGTCTCTCTGATTGCAACGTCATACCATGACGGAACTTAACTTTTGTACTAAAAATTTGCGGTAAGCGTAAAGAGACATATTTATTACAGAGTAAGAATTTTCCACGTATTTCCACTACGAGAGCATGCAAATTCACTAGATAATAGGTAGGTTAAATCAATCCATTCATTTCAGAGCTTTTCTCGTGACTTTCCTTTCATGATATCCTTCTAGTTTTTTACGTTTCATAATTTTTATTATTTTTTGTATTGATAAAATGATTATATTTGTGCGTTTTACACAGACTATCCCAAACAAAATATATTCACGAGTACAAATCACTGGTTTTGGGTGTAAATTTTGCGCTTCCTTTGTTGGCGTGACGCGGTTGTATGTGGGAGCTAACACACATTAACAGATCTCAGATATCTGTTTACAGTCTGCCATTTTTAAATCGAACAAATGGCAAAATCTACACATGCCAACAATGCTGAGCAAAGATGAACAAGTGGTCTTTCCAGACATGATGTGTGTCCTTTACCTTTGAACTCTGGCTTAGCGCTTTATAGCAACAAATTTCTATATATATATCCCACCGATTCGAAGATGATCAGTGTTTTATTTCTGTATCATCCACGGAAAATGAGGATATTTA